TATTGAGACCTGTTTTATCAGTACTCAAAAGATTGATGTTTTAAGATTTTATTAAGTTTCTTTTTGTACTAAATTATAAACAGATTTATCTTTGTTTCTCTTTCATGCTTAAATTCATTCATTTCAGTTTCATATCTGCATGCCTTTTTTTCATTTGCTTGTTTATAGAAAAGCATGTACATAGATTCATATTCAATAAATCAACCATTTGTATTTGATGTTAATACTGCATTTTATCATATCTCTTACCAAAATGATTTAAATATCTTTGATGTCTCAGTGTGAACATGTTATTTATTGTGAATATCAATCCTGAACAATCTCGTGTTTTGATGGTGTGGGCAGTTATGATTAACAGAACATTGTGTCGAAATATTAAAGCCAATGGGCCAGACGTGAAATTCCAACCCAAATTGATTTTCTTATTGTGCCTATGCATGATATTGGCATTTATTTTTGTGTTTCAGGGAGTTAAATCAAACATACCTCGACTCTCTTGGAGTTGCCATGTTGGAAGGGTTTCTAGAACCTTATCATAAAAGGTAAAGAGTGCATTAAATGTTAAAATAGTGCATGCCATTCCACCATTTCTTCTTCCATCAAGAAGAGAAGTCTGCTGACTGAGCTTGCTGTGAAAACCTGAGGAGAAAGCATCAAAGGTTTCAAATGAACAATGGTGCTTACTTTCAGCACCATTTTTGTCAGATTTTCGTGAAAAAATTGGAGAGCAGAACCACTACAGGAGGAAACAAACACTTCAAATGTAAACCTGGCAGAGACAGATATGTGCTTTTTAACATCTAAACAATATTCTTTCCAACTTTCAATGTTTCAGTGACCAATGTTGGGCCCATCTTCCAATGTTCTCCAGACTTCTGACTAGCAAGGTCTCAACATTCTGTGAAGAGAAGTGCACAAACAAATATAAATCAAACAAGCACTTATCTTCATACAGAATATATGACCTTGATTCTGAATGTGATCTTCATCCTTACATCCAATTTTTCTTTTATTTGATATTCCATCATCTTCTACACTTCCTCTCATTTCCCTAATAGGAAACTGAATAACACTTATCTTAAGAAACTTGGTGTTGCCATGCTGCCGGGGTTTATTGAGCCCTATGAACAGAGGTATTTCAATAGATTTGACTTATTTTCTCCCAGGACTATTGCAGCTTCAGCATGTTATTTGTAAATCACTTTTTGTCAGATTTATGGCTTAAGTATCCATCACATCCATCAATTGATTTGTTAAAAACGCCTTTATCAGCACTTTAAGTCTCCACAATAATCACAGAATGAGCTTAAAAGATATCGTCACCGCTGTCCTGTATGTTGAATACCTGTTGTTGCTGTTAACACGTCTTTAAATCCCATGCGTGCACAATTTAACACAATTTTACCCCTTCAGTACCATTAACCTTTGGCACAGATATGGAATATGATGGCAGAGAATAGCTAAATGCTGACTGCAGCTTGAATGTGGTTGGTGAGCAATACTTGCTGGAGCAGATAAGAATCTGTCTTCCTGTAAAGGTTGGGGATTACAAGGCTTGGCATTGCTGAGCTTAAGCTGCAATGTTTATTTTTGTCAGCTGGTAATAATATATATTCAGTTTGGTAAATGACGGGGAATGGATAAAAGAATTGAATTGCTTTTCATTGATTTCCCACAAAATTTTCATTTGTCTTAAATTACCATAAAAAAAAGAAATTATGGTTAAGTAAGAACAGGATAGTGTAGTAAATTAATGTTGTGTAACAATGACATATTTACAGCATGGATGGAGTGAAAATATAGATGGAGCTTACCTGCTTAGAAGGAACTAACTTCTCACATTTTACTAACAACTTAAATTTCCCTTTTTATTTTACTGCTTCAACAAAGGTGGTTGAAGGTATGCCCAATTGTTGCTGTACTTTGTAGAAATATTTTTTCTCCTCCTAGGCAACATTGGGTGTGCTCCATTTTCAACAGATTTGGTTGATTAGAACTTCAGGCCAGTACTCAAAATTTGTTAAAAGAAAAATTGGAAGCTCTTAAGGCATTAATTTGTATGTTTTGTTTAGTAAAATGATGACTTTCACAATGATGTTGAAGGAAGTGGTACCACAGTATGTTAATATTAGATATCCCAGTGCAGCAGCATTAGAACTCTTTAATACCACATTGTCATGTCTAAGCTTTTCATGTAACTTACATTGCATGGCATAATATTATGGTTAATAACTTAATCATTAACCATTACAACTGGAAAACTGAGGAAGAGGCCTTATACCTAAATGATATTATTGGTCACTTACAATTTTGATTATTATATTTCAAATTAAAGCACATCACATTCATTTTGGTGCTATTAGTCCAAAATTGTTTGGTCATGCTCTCTCTTTTTGCAATTTTTATTATTACAAAAATTTGATTTGATGAAAATAATGCATAATTTGACAGTGGAGCGAGTGGTGTATTTACCAAAACTAGGTTAATTTTGCAATATTTTAATTGAGAGACAGCAATTTATGCAATGTTGACCTGTTATTTACAAATAATGCCATTTTATGTTAACATATAATCTCTGTATTTATATGCTGCTTTCATTTCCAAAAATGTTATATGGAAAATGTATTTCATACTCTCATTGTTTCTGTTAGGCCACTTACCATGGGAGAGATTGGTTGTTTCCTCAGCCACTATTTCATATGGGAAGATGTAAGTGATTTTCATTTTGAATACTATTGTTGTATAGTTTTACCAGAAACAGCTTAGTCTGTCTCAGGGGTTTTTACAACTTTTCCATATTTTCATTCCATACAAGTGACCTATATATTCATATTATAACAGACTGTCACTTCTTGATTTCACTGCATATACTTAATTTTGGGGTGAGTGGGTGCATTTTCATTTTAGATGGAACCAAATTGTAATGCCACAAATTTCAGTTTTTAAGTCCTAAATGTGTGAAGTTAATAATTCATATTGTTTTATTTTTTCCTTCCATTTGGTTTTATAACAGAAAAATTATTCATATTGATGATTTTTTTGTTCTAGGCAGCAAAAAACAATTACCAGAAAGTCCTTGTGTTTGAGGATGATGTGAGATTTGAGCCATTCTTTGTCACAAAGCTGCAGTCTTTACTTAAAGAAATTGAAGACAATAAACTGGAATGGGAATTAATGTAAGTGTAGATTTTTATATTGAATGGCTTTGCTGGGAATGGGAATTAATGTAAGTGTAGATTTTTACATAGAATGGCTTTGCTGAAATATAAGCAGTTAAACAACATGTTACTTTAAGGGTTATCTTTCTCTGTAGAGATACTGTACATTATACCTTTTCTTTGTAGTGACTAGAGAGATTATGTAGCCAAGGTTCAAAACTATATGCACTTAGGTGTTGTTCCTTTCTGTTCAAGTTTCATTCATATAATTGTAAATGATTTTCCATTAAAAAAATATCACCTAGTCAAATTTGGGCAAGTCAAAGTTTTATCTTCTTATTGATACATTGATAAGTATATAATTAAAAAAAAAATAAAAATTATCTGTAGTGATTCTTGCAAATATATGTAACACACTGATAGATTGATATGCCATTACAGCTACCTGGGTAGAAAACGGATGTGGCATGCTGATGAACCGCCAGTGGATGGTTTCCAGAGTCTGGTATGGGCAGATTATTCCTACTGGACACTCAGTTATATGGTTTCTCAACAGGGGGTCAAGAAACTGCTGGACCAGAAACCACTGGGAAAGATGTTACCTGTGGATGAATACATCCCCATTATGTTTGACAGACATCCAGAGTAAGAATATCTTATTGGTTTTCATTAAGGGTACTCTATGAGGGATTATAATCTATAAGCAATTTTTTGTACTGAGGAGTCACTGCTCGACCTGTCCCTGGACTTTGATTTAATGTTTTATTCAACTTTTAATTTTAATGATTTATTTCTAAATGTCTGGTCAGTCATTTAGAACACTGTACATTTCAGAGGGAATTATTGATGTCAGGTACTTTCATACAAGGAGTTTAATAGTTTCTAGGTTGGGTAAGATTATTAGCTCTGAAGAATATGGTACGGAGACATAGAAAAAATTTATATGATTTTGGGAAATTTTCAAATATGTACAGTATACCTTGAAAGACTTTGGGGATAGAGAGCACTTTGGTCCAGGATTGAAATACTATTTCAGAACAGCATAAGTAATTTTTTTGGTACCATTTAAATGTATTTTTTTCCCATAGGGAAAAATGGAAGAATCAGTTTTCACCAAGGAACCTCAAAGGAATGTCGACATCTCCTTTGTTAGTTTTCCCCACACACTATACAGGGGAAAATAACTATATATCGGACACAGAAGACTCTCATGTGATCAGTGAAGAACAAGATCATTCAAATGAAGATTTAGAAGGCAAACCAGAGGGACCAAGGTTACCCAACATTCTGGGACCGGATACAAGAGATGAATTATAGTGAAGATTCAGTGTATGTGGTTCCATCTCACACAGCTATTAATTTTTTTTCTTTTTAAGAATCTCCTTAAGTATAGATTTTTTTTCACAGGTCAAAGACTCTGAGATAACCACTCCTTTAGTTTTCTTTTATATCTGTTTGAAATATTTTAAGTTAAGATATCATTTGAGAAATGTTTGGAATTTTTATCGGAAATGTCACAATTTCAGTTTAATTAGATTCAAGCAAAACGGTAATATTAACCTTTTGTCACTAGTATAATTGTTTTATTTTTTAATGCACATTTTAAGGCAATGCAAATGTACATAGCTGTATGATTTATTAGTTGTTTAGACTGTATTTCAGTGCAATTTAGTCGATACCAGTGTCATAGCATTGAAAATGATGGTACCTATAGCATTTTCAGCTTATTGGGCTTCCTATAGATAAAAGTGGCTACCAAGGAAAAATTAAAAATTACATTTATTAAATTTGTCAGCTTTTATGAATATTGCATGATTGAATACAAATGATACTTGCCGAACAGGAAAATATTGCATATTAATTTGTTTAAGTGATATTACTTTGTTTTTCAAAAAGTGTACAATTTTTTTTTCCAAATGAATTGTGGTAACTTTTGTAAGTGATAATATGAAAGTTCCCTTTATGGCATTTGTCATTACTTTTTGTCTTACAAAATACTGAAAAAAAGTAGTTAGAATAGTTGAGGTTGTTTTATGGATTTTTATTTATGAAATTGCAATCATTAATAAATTCTCACACAGACTCCATTCTCGAAGTTATATGTGGAATATTGGATCAGAAAAGTTATCAATCAGGTATAATATATTGTGATGTCTCTTTCTTTTGGGTAGCATGTTTATGGTGAGATTTTTTGTGTTATGTGATCATGGCCTTTTTATTCCTTCTTTCTTTTTCTGGGGTCCTCTTAACCCCACAATACTTATTATAAGATATTGATTGTGAGCCTATCAACATTTTATGTCTCCAGCAAATGAATACAACATACTTTTAGTGTGTTTCCATGTTCCAAAGCCTGATATAGATTGAAACTAATGTAGACTATGTATAATTATGTAAATTATACAGACTGATATTTTAGGAGAAAGAGGTTTCTTTCCTTACATCTTGATGAGATACTATTTAGGTTGAGATTTATAAAATCAAAAGAAAACTCTAATCTAGAGTAGAAATATGTGAAACTGTTTACATTTAAATTTAAGCATAAAGCAACAATAGTTTTTTACAAGGGCACACTCCCACGTTTATTTGTAGCAGTAAGAGGTTCTTCAGTACTCAAAATGGAGTCCATTTACTAAAGTGGTTAGTTATTTGTTATAATTGTTTGTGTTTTGCAGCTCTGAGGGGTTATTTTTCTGCAATATGGCAATCATTAGGAAATTATTTTTTGGGTTATTTGTTTAAAGTGTGTTTGGAAAAATGCTATGGCGCACACAGGAATGCGCAGGCACGTGCAGATGTTAATATATATTCGTAGCAGGGTGTGCAGTACTCGAGTGGAGTCCATTTATTTAGAGTAACTTGTAAGTCAGGTCATTAATTTTTCAGCTTGGGAGGTTTTATTTTTATGCAGTATTGCAATAATTAGGGAATGGTTTGGGGGCTTTGGCAAAATGCTAGGAATTGAATTTGTCTGCTTTGTTTGTTCTGTCTATGTAGATTTTGCATAGGGAATTCACGTTTAGGTAATATAGCAAACTGTACAGCATTACTTTTAAAGTTTATAAATCGAATGCAACTGAACTTTGACTGTGAAAATGTATGAATGTGTGTAAGTGCTTAGTTATGTGATATTGTTGGAAGATTGCTTTGTAGATATCAAGCTTTTTGTTCTGAACATTAGGTGATTTGTAAAGTAAATTTACTCTGTACAAAACTTTTTTCCATTGTAAAAATACTCCAACCAAAAGATACTTCAGTTATGACAGAATGATTGCTAGACACATTCTCTTTGATTTTTAGCCTTGTTTTCATTAGAATCTTCTATACAGCAATTATCAAACAATAAAAAATATACTCCAAATGTTACTTTGACATAAGATAAGTTGGTATGTAACTGGAGTTATGTTTGTGCAAAAAAATCTAAGTTTGTCATTATAAAAACAATAAACATAGGTTTAAAATATTTTAGCTTGTAGTTTGGTCAGAAAAACTATGTATATGACTGTATGAGAGTGTGGTAGAGGGTATGGGAAGTTGTGATATTAGAGTAGTAAATGTAGTTTGGTTTTTTTTTTCAATCATTAGCTTTCGAATTAGAATAGTTACATAATTTTAGTGGTCAGAATCATGACAAGCATTGTTAGAATTTGGGTTTAAAGAAAAAGCCAGAATAAAGCACAGTCTTGTGCTTAAGAATAAATGTGTGCTTTGTTGTTTACTGATAGTAATCTGCATATTAATGTACTGATGGTGACTAGTTTTTCAAGTATTAAACAAAATTTCCAACAGCATTTTTCTTCAAGTCAAAAATAATTTAGTTTTTTTTTTTTTTTTTTTTTTTTTTTAAGTTGAGTAATAGGTTTCGGTCTACTTTCATGTAGAAAGTTCATGCTGGTAATGGTTTTATAGAGTTCAAAACCATATTTTCCCGTACTGGTTGTTTTTGTAGATAAAGATAAGTGGATGAAATTCGCGTATAATCATCTTTTCAGAGATTAATTATACCATGAGTATATATATATATTATGGTTTTATTAAAAAATTGCAAACAAAAGAAATGCTACTTATGTTTTGTAAAGGATGATCATGATAAAAGTTTGATGAATGCTTCTCATGCATAAATTGCATTAAAATTAAGAGTTAATTTTGTAAAGTCCGTCCATTCATCCACATTGTCTTGACATGGTTTATATCAGTGCTTATTTCTCTGGCACCATTCCAAAATACATAACTGAAAATGTTCAATTAAGACAGCCAAAGTTGACTTGTATGTGGATTCGTGAAATGAGATGAGATGAAATCCTTAGAAAAAAATAGTAAACTAGAGCATCAGTGATGCAAAAAAAAATGGAATGGTCTGCGGTGGTATTAAACACCTTTGCTAACGTTCCAAATGCTCTTTTAAGAGAGACAGTATAAAACTTCAATGTCAATAACAATATGTTGTTTTTCCTGTGCAGTTTGTATAAATATAATTCTTTAAATGGCAAAAGAGACAGGATTATTAGAGATGAGACTAGAATGGACAAGTGATCTCCATTCCTCTTCTTTGGCTCTGAAAAGCTGTTGGAATGTGGCAAAAACAAGTCATGCACTATTTGGTATGGCTCCAACCTTCTTCAGCATTTCCTTTAACTTTCCTGATTCATGATTTCTTGTTATTTCTTTTTCACCACCGGCATATTTGCCATCCACAAATAATTGTGGCACCTGAAACAATAATGTAAAATAATGAATGTTGTTTAAAAAATACTTAATGTTTTGAGTGCAGAAAGTCACAATCTTACTCAAAATTAATCACCATCTTAGATGAAAAACTGGTTTGCCTACAGAAAAAGCTATTTGCATTAATCAAGTAAAGTAGCATGTTTCACTAAGTAATTTCTAGTTGTCTAAGATCTACCGGTATATTGTAGAACAAATGATTTTTTTTAATTAAAAAGATACACTTACAAAACTTGATTCAATTTTACTTACCGCCCTGCTATCAGTTAAACAGATTATCTGGAAATAATTCTCAATTTGTGTAACATCTTGTCTGCATTCGATCTCCGCTACTTCATAAATCTGTGGGGACATTTTATATTCATCCAGGTAAGATTTAATACGTTTACATTCGGGATCGTAACTTCTAGAGAATAACATCACTTTCCTTTGACTAATCTTATTGTCTACAAACGGTTTTGAAGATACTCCACACCCGACAACAGCCATTGTTATCTTTAGAATCCTCGGACAGGTCCTATTTAAGGAGTTTTCCAAGGATTTCCAGAGCACCTGTCCTTCCTTGTTACGCTTGCTGGTATCTAAGGAATCACGTGACATAAGAGGGGGAATTCCCAAGGACTTTCTTACCTCCCACAAGTAAAGAACTGCTGAAGAGAGAACTAGCCTGACAGAGTTTAGGATAAATAACGTTGCTGACTGTGATGTAGAAATGGATAGCAGTGTCTCAAGTTTTGAAAACCGTGTCTCAAGCTCAGGTCGCGTTGCTGCATACTCAGACGCTGTGTTTTCAATAATTGCCACGGTTATGGTAAGATGAAGGTTTTTGACGTAATTTTTTTCCATGATGTATTAATTATTATGATCAGTGCTGTCAGTGACGTATTCCAGGAGCGTGACACTGACTCATGAGGTTGCTGTACAACAAAACATTTCAGTGGACTTTCATTTCATATAACTTAAACATTTGATGTGCTGTATGTGCATTTAAGCCCTATTTACTCTGACTATCCGTATTATCTTGACCCTCACCCCCCCCCCCCCGCCCCACCCCACCCCGCCCACCATCATGACCTGCTGATCATGGTTTATAGTTATGGAAATTACTTACAAAGCTTGTCAGTTCACCTTTGATGTAGATAATAAAATACATGCATATTTACGCTAAGGTTAATTATCAGTTTAAGAATTTCTGCACCAAGTATTCTTGATTTTAAGCAATGCAATGTCACAGTACAAAACAATAATAAAATATGTTTTATTTCAAAAACATATTATAAATTAAAATTAAACTGTTGGGAATATTACTCCAATTTGCAGGTGTTTTCTGGTCGAAGATGAAAGATCTATCTGTGATGTACTACAGCTATGTGTATTAGTATTTTAATTGTCTATTTGTATTTTTCTGTGCATTCTGAGTCTTTTTAACATTTCAGATTCTTCCAGTTACTCACACTGTAATTCCAGAAAATAAGGTGAGGCATGACATAATATTGTTTGTGAAAATATGCATAATTTATGTCTCTCTGCACGTGGACCAAATCTCTCTCTCTCTCTCTCTCTCTCTCTCTCTCTCTCTCT